AGACTTTGTTTAGACCTGGTTTAGACCTGGTTTAGTCCTGGTTTAGTCCTGGTTTAGTCCTGGTTTAGTCCTGGTTTAGTCCTTGTTTAGACCTGGTTTAGACCTGGTTTAGTCCTGGTTTAGTCCGGGTTTAGTCCTTGTTTAGACCTGGTTTAGACCTGGTTTAGACCTGGTTTAGTCCTGGTTTAGTCCTGGTTTAGTCCTGGTTTAGTCCTGGTTTAGACCTGGTTTAGACCTGGTTTAGACCTGGTTTAGTCCTGGGTTTAGTCCTGGTTTAGTCCTGGTTTAGTCCTGGTTTAGACCTGGTTTAGTCCTCCTGTTTAGACCTGGTTTAGTCCTGGTTTAGTCCTGGTTTAGTCCTGGTTTAGACCTGGTTTAGACCTGGTTTAGTCCTGGTTTAGTCCTGGTTTAGTCCTGGTTTAGTCCTGCTGATTTCGTCATGTCTTTTTTTAATTTTACTGAACTTTCTGGACTTTGATTCTTGGTGATTAGATTCTAAAACTTTTCAAATTATGTGAACGAGGGAATCTCACTTTTTAATTTATTGCTCGGCTTCAAGTAACTGGAAAAGGTCCAGAGTCGCGGGTTTTCAGATAATAGATGTTGCTTATTGAGTCCTGCGCTGCCAAAACTGTATCAGAAGTTTAAAGAGAGTGTGACACCATTTCATGTTTTTATAATCAGGACTTTGGTTTGGTCGGATTGTACCTTTATTATATTTATATTTATTAAAGTTTCAGATCAATTAATTGGCAGTTTGTGGTTTAAAAAAAAGCAAACAAACAAATTTTGAAGAAATATACAAAAATACAGGAAGTCGTGCTGAGTTCTAAAACAGAATCTATAAACCTACACAGAAAATTTCATCCATAATAACTTTTTGGTTGAGGGAACACAGTGGTGGAAAGTAACGAAGTACAAAAGTAAAAGTACAATCCTGAAGTGCAATTTTTAGGGATCTGTTCTTTGCTTAATGGCAAAAGGATGGACCTGTCCTGGCGATAGCTATTGTTCATAAGATAAGATAATCCTTTATTGTCTCCCATGGGAGAAATTTGTCTTGGGACGGGGGTCACATGTTTTATCAAAAAACAGGACGACACAACACAAAGCAGCACATAAACAAACACCATAAAACAAAGTAAATATGAGACCAGTGTGACCACGAGTGATGCACCAACAGGACCTTAAATTATCCTTAACAGGCAAACCCTTGCATTCTTCTGTTCTATTAATTATTGCACATTCCCTAAGCCTATGTGCAGTTTTAATTATAATTATTGCACATTCCCTAAGCCTATGTGCAGTTTTAGTTATAATTATTGCACATTCCCTTAGCCTATGTGCAGATTTAATTATTGCACATTCCTTAAGCCTATGTGCAGATTTAATTATTGCACATTCCCTAAGCCTATGTGCAGATTTAATTATTGCACATTCCTTAAGCCTATGTGTAGCTTTAATTGCACATTCCCTACACCTATGTGCAGTTTTAGATATAATTATTGCACGTTCCCTACACCTATGTGCAGTTTTGATTGCACAATCCCTAAGCCTTTTATAATTATTTTTTAACTGCATTATCTGAGTTTAGCAGTTTAACAGCTAGTGGCACAAAAGAATGTTTGAATCTGTTCAGTTTACAGTTTGGGACCTGAACCTTCTGCCTGACGGCATCAACTCAAACTGACTGTGAAGAACATGGGTTGGGTCATTGATCACCTTCCTGCTGAGCTTCCTCACAGTCTCCTCAAAAATCTCAGGTCGTACACACAGACACACGTTTATATGATTGGACACATATTCTAGGCTCTTAGTGTTTTGGTGGTGAATTACTTCGCGGCGCACAGATCTACATCAGAGTATCAGTGTTTTCAGGAGTCCACGCGGTGCCGGATCAGATCTGTACCAACATGAATTCGTGGGAGTTGGAGGCACCAGATCGTTCCATCTCTGGAGCAGTTTTCAGTCGGATTAGTGTGAACGAACACTGCATCCACAACAAAAACCACTTGAATACAGACTAGTGTGGACGAGGCCTTAGTCCTCCATTTTTGTTCAAGGAATGATTATTTTCTTAAAATGTCTTCTTTCACTCCCCTCTCAAACCAGTTCTTTTCTCTGGCTCAGATCTGTACCTTGCTGTCCTCAAATTAGTGGCCCGTGGTTTTTAAAGGTTGTATGGAGGATTTTTTTGTTTGTTTCAAACTGTCAGTGAAAGATTAAAATACCATTACAGAGATGCAGCAGCTTTGTAATTATAATGACCAAAAAAAAAAAGAACGAAAATCTATCAACTGTGGACGTAGTGAGGCCAGATAAACGTCAGCCAATAGAAAACGAGGCTCCCTCATTTTCTATTGGCTGTTAGATTGTCAATCAAACTCCCTAGTGTAACTGACTCGTCGGAGCGCGGGGATTACGTGGTTTACACAGCGGTTCTTAGAGGCTTTTTCGAACTGTCGCTTCCTCGCATTTCGCACAAAGTTTGTCGCGACGGCGGACGAGAATCCATGACCGGTTCGCCGCAGAAGAAAGTCCGTTTTTGAGGTCGCTGAAAGAAGAAGAGAAGGAGAAAAGGAGCAAAGCCAAACTGAGGTGATTCTTGGAAATCTCGTCCAGCGATGGCGCGACCGAAACAGACGAAGGGTCTAAAAACTGACGCGTCGGTCGCTGAATTACTTCTAGACAGGAAACTTCAACAGTAATTCTGAACGCGCACAAGGACTGTCGCTGTATTTCTCTTCCCTTAAAAAAATCCTCTATACAACCTTTAAGTGGAGATGTACAGCAGACTGAGGTCCTGTGTTGTTCTCTCGTCTGTGTTGGTTCATCCTCTTGTGAAGTGTGTGTTTAGTTTCTCCAGTGCAGCTTCACTTCAGTCTTCACTGCTCTGATTGGAGTAGAGCACATTGCTTTGCTTGTGGCTCGGTGTTTTGTCCTTTGGTTGGACCAGTTTCTATTAAAGTGTTCGTAGGTTTGAAATAGACTTGGATCTCATGTTGTCTGAAAATCACCTGTAGTTTTTCAAAAACACCAGCCACGTACGGAACAGTTACTATCTTCTAATCTAAACTGTGAAATACAAATAAATGTAGGAAATGACAAAGATGGACTTGAGTTGGTCTCGATGGGCCGCAGTCTCGGTCTTGTCTCGGTCTTGACCTTTAAAAGTCTCGGTCTTGTCTCAGTCTCGACGTTTAAAAGTCTCGGTCTTGTCTCGGTCTTGTCTCAGTCTCGACCTTTAAAAGTCTCGGTCTTGTCTCAGTCTCGACCTTTAAAAGTCTCGGTCTTGTCTTGGTCTTGACCTTCAAAAGTCTTGGTCTTGTCTCAGTCTCGACGTTTAAAAGTCTCGGTCTTGTCTCAGTCTTGACCTTTAAAAGTCTCGGTCTTGTCTCAGTCTCAACCTTTAAAAGTCTCGGTCTTGTCTCGGTCTTGACCTTTAAAAGTCTCGGTCTTGTCTCGGTCTTGACCTTTAAAAGTCTCGGTCTTGTCTCGGTCTTGATCTTTAAAAGTCTCGGTCTTGTCTCGGTCTTGACCTTCAAAAGTCTCGGTCTTGTCTCGGTCTTGACCTTCAAAAGTCTCGGTCTTGTCTCAGTCTCGACGTTTAAAAGTCTCGGTCTTGTCTCGGTCTTGACCTTCAAAAGTCTCGGTCTTGTCTCAGTCTCGACGTTTAAAAGTCTCGGTCTTGTCTCGGTCTTGACCTTTAAAAGTCTCGGTCTTGTCTCAGTCTCAACCTTTAAAAGTCTCGGTCTTGTCTTGGTCTTGACCTTCAAAAGTCTTGGTCTTGTCTCAGTCTCGACGTTTAAAAGTCTCGGTCTTGTCTCGGTCTTGACCTTTAAAAGTCTCGGTCTTGTCTCATTCTCAACCTTTAAAAGTCTCGGTCTTGATCTTTAAAAGTCTCGGTCTTGTCTCGGTCTTGACCTTTAAAAGTCTCGGTCTTGTCTCGGTCTTGATCTTTAAAAGTCTCGGTCTTGATCTTTAAAAGTCTCGGTCTTGTCTCGGTCTTGATCTTTAAAAGTCTCGGTCTTGACCTTTAAAAGTCTCGGTCTTGTCTCACCCCTCAGAGGTCTCGGTCTCGTCCTGGTCTCGGGACACTGGTCTCGGTCTCTGGTCTCTGGTCTCTGGTCTCTCTGGTCTCCTGGTCTCGGGACACTGGTCCTGGTCTCGGGACACTGTGGTCTCTGGTCCTGGTCTCGGGACACTGTGGTCTCTGTGGTCTCGGTCTCTCTGGTCCTGGTCTCGGGACACTGTGGTCTCGGTCTCTTGGTCTCCTGGTCCTGGTCTCGGGACACTGACTGGTCTGGTCTCGGACTGGTCTCTGGTCCTGGTCTCGGGACACTGTGGTCTCGGACTCTGGTCTCTCCTGGTCTCGGGACACTGTGGTCTCTGTGGTCCTGGTCTGGTCTCGGGACACTGTGGTCTCGTCGGTCTCGTCCTGGTCTCGGGACACTGTGGTCTCGGACTGGTCCTGGTCTCGGGACACTGTGGTCTCGGACTCGGGGTGGTCTCGGACTGGTCCTGGTCTCGGGACACTGTGGTCTCGGTCTCGTCCTGGTCTCGGGACACTGTGGTCTCGGACTCGGACTGGTCTCGGACACTGGTCTCGGACGGACTGGTCCTGGTCTCGGGACACTGTGGTCCTGGTCTGGTCTCTGGTCTCGGACACTGTCCTGGTCTGACACTGGTCTCGGACTGGTCCTGGTCTCGGGACACTGTGGTCTCGTCCTGGTCTCGGGACACTGTGGTCTCGGACTGGTCCTGGTCTCGGGACACTGTGGTCTCGGACTGGTCCTGGTCTCGGGACACTGTGGTCTCTGGTCTCGTCCTGGTCTCGGGACACTGTGGTCTCGGACTGGTCCTGGTCTCACAGATGAAACAGAAAACACACACCAAAGTTCTTGTAGATGTAAATGTTCTCCCAGGCTGATAAAAATGTATTGTATTGATAATGTTTGTGTCTCCGTTCTGACCCCGTCCCGTGTCGTTCTGTCCTCCAGAGGACCGTCTCCCTCCGTCTGTGGAGGTGAACAAAGGCCTGGTCCTGGATGAAAACACCATGAAGAAGATCACGACCCTGCAGCTCTCGGCCAGCGACCAGGACAGCGAACCGGCCGAGCTGCTCTTCACCGTCACCAAGGAGCCGGCGTTAGGGCATCTGGAGCACGTCAACAACCCAGGTACACGACAGAGGACAGACCACAGACTGGACCAACTCACAACACCAGACCTGGTTTAGACCTGGTTTAACCTGGTTTAGACCTGGTTTTAGACCTGGTTTAGTCCTGGTTTAGACCTGGTTTTAGACCTGGTTTAGACCTGGTTTAGTCCTGGTTTAGACCTGGTTTAGACCTGGTTTAGTCCTGGTTTAGACCTGGTTTAGACCTGGTTTAGACCTGGTTTAGTCCTGGTTTAGTCCTGGTTTAGACCTGGTTTAGACCTGGTTTAGTCCTGGTTTTAGTCCTGGTTTAGTCCTGTTTAGTCCTGGTTTAGTCTTGGTTTAGTCCTGGTTTAGTCCTGGTTTAGTCCTGGTTTAGACCTGGTTTAGTCCTACTCTAGTCCTAGTTCAGACCTGGTTCAGACCTGGTTTAAAGCTGGTTTAGACCTGGTTTAGTCCTGGTTTAGTCCTAGTTTAGTCCTAGTTCAGACCTGGTTCAGACTTGGTTTAAAGCTGGTTTTGTGCTGGTTTAGTTCTGGTTTGATCTTGGTTCAGTTCTGGTACGGTCCTGGTTCAGTCTGAGTGTATATCCAGTTTAGTCCTGTTTAGTCCTGGTTTAGTCCTGGTTTAGTCCCTGGTTTAGTTAGTCCTGTTTAGTCCTGTTTAGTTTAGTCTTTGTTTAGTCCTGGTTTAGTCCTGGTTTAGACCTGGTTTAGACCTGGTGTAGTCCTGGTTTAGACCTGGTTTAGACCTGGTGTAGTCCTGGTTTAGACCTGGTTTAGACCTGGTTAGACCTGGTTAGTCCTGGTTTAGACCTGGTTTAGTCCTGGTTTAGACCTGGTTTAGTCCTGGTTTAGACCTGGTTTAGTCCTGGTTTAGTCCTGGTTTAGTCCTGGTTTAGACCTGGTTTAGTCCTGGTTTAGTCCTGGTTTAGACCTGGTTTAGACCTGGTGTAGACCTGGTGTAGTCCTGGTTTAGACCTGGTTTAGACCTGGTTTAGACCTGGTTTAGACCTGGTTTAGTCCTGGTTTAGTCCTGGTTTAGACCTGGTTTAGACCTGGTTTAGACCTGGTTTAGTCCTGGTTTAGACCTGGTTTAGTCCTGGTTTAGACCTGGTTTATTCCTGGTTTAGACCTGGTTTAGACCTGGTTTAGACCTGGTTTAGATCTGGTGTAGTCCTGGTTTAGACCTGGTTTAGACCTGGTGTAGTTTAGACCTGGTTTAGACCTGGTTTAGACCTGGTGTTTAGACCTGGTTTAGACCTGGTTAGACCTGGTGTAGACCTGGTGTAGTCCTGGTTTAGACCTGGTTTAGACCTGGTTTAGACCTGGTTTAGTCCTGGTTTAGACCTGGTTTAGTCCTGGTTTAGTCCTGGTTTAGACCTGGTTTAGACCTGGTTAGTCCTGGTTTAGTCCTGGTTTAGACCTGGTTTAGACCTGGTTAGACCTGGTGTAGTCCTGGTTTAGACCTGGTTTAGACCTGGTTTAGACCTGGTTTAGTCCTGGTTTAGTCCTGGTTTAGACCTGGTTTAGACCTGGTTTAGACCTGGTTTAGTCCTGGTTTAGACCTGGTTTAGACCTGGTTTAGACCTGGTTTAGTCCTGGTTTAGACCTGGTTTAGACCTGGTTTAGTCCTGGTTTTAGACTGGTTTAGTCTGGTTTAGACCTGGTTTAGACCTGGTTTAGACCTGGTTTAGACCTGGTTTAGTCCTGGTTTAGTCCTAGTTTAGTCCTGGTTTAGTCTTGGTTTAGTCCTGGTTTAGTACTGGTTTAGTACTGGTTTACCTGGTTTAGACCTGGTTTAGACCTGGTTTAGACCTGGTTTAGTCCTGGTTTAGACATGGTTTAGACCTGGTTTAGACCTGGTTTAGTCCTGGTTTAGTCCTGGTTTAGTCCTGGTTTAGTCCTGGTTTAGACCTGGTTTAGACCTGGTTAGACCTGGTTTAGTCTTGGTTTAGTCCTAGTTTAGTCCTGGTTTTAGTCTTGGTTTAGTCCTGGTTTAGTACTGGTTAGTAACTGGTTTAGTCCTGGTTTAGTCCTTGGTTTAGTCCTGGTTTAGTCCTGGTTTAAAGCTGGTTTTGTACTGGTTTAGTCCTGGTTTAGACCTGGTTTAGTCCTACTCTAGTCCTAGTTTAGACCTGGTTTAGTCCTGGTTTAAACCTGGTTTAGTCCTGGTTTAGTCCTAGTCTAGTCCTAGTTCAGACCTGGTTCAGACCTGGTTTAAAGCTGGTTTTGTACTGGTTTAGTTCTGGTTTGATCCCGGTTCAGTTCTGGTACGGTCCTGGTTCAGTCTGAGTGTATATCCAGTTTAGTCCTGGTTTAGTCCTGGTTTAGTCTTTGTTTAGTCCTGTTTAGTCCTGGTTTAGTCCTGGTTTAGTCCTGGTTTAGACCTGGTTTAGAGCTGGTTTAGAGCTGGTTTAGTCCTGGTTTAGACCTGGTTTAGACTGGTTTAGTAGTCCTGGTTTAGACCTGGTTTAGACCTGGTGTAGTCCTGGTTTAGACCTGGTTTAGACCTGTTGTAGACCTGGTGTAGTCCTGGTTTAGACCTGGTTTAGTCCTGGTTAGTAGTCCTGTTTAGTCCTTCCTGGTTTAGACCTGGTTTAGACCTGGTTTAGTCCTGGTTTAGTCCTGGTTTAGTCCTGGCTTTAGACCTGGTTTAGACCTGGTTTAGTCCTGGTTTAGAGTCCTGGTTTAGACCTGGTTTAGACCTGGTTTTTAGTCCTGGTCCTGGTTTAGTCCTGGTTTAGACCTGGTTTAGACCTGGTTTAGTCCTGGTTTAGACCTGGTTTAGACCTGGTTTAGACCTGGTTTAGTCCTGGTTTAGACCTGTTTAGACCTGTTTAGTCCTGTTTAGCTGGTTTAGACCTGGTTTAGACCTGGTTTAGTTCCTGGTTTAGACCTGGTTTAGACCTGGTTTAGTCCTGGTTTAGTCCTGGTTTAGACCTGGTTTAGTCCTGGTTTAGACCTGGTTCACATCTGAGGACAGACGACAAACTGAACAAACTCATAACGCGATAATTCACTCGTTTAACCAAATTTATAAAGTCTATTTTTACTTTGCAGCTGACGTCAGTGGTTTAAGTTCAGTTTTGTTTTTGGATTTTAGGAGGAAAAACTTTGTTCTTCAGTTTTAATAAAACATCACAGGCTTTAATTTATGACTGAAACTAAAAATGGAGCCTAACAGGAGCAGAAACATGACTAAAACAGGACTAAACCAGGACTAAACCAGGTCTAAAACAGGACTAAACCCTAAAACCAGGACTAAACCAGGTCTAAAACAGGACTAAACAGGAGGTCTAAACCAGGACTAAAACAGGACTAAAACCAGGTCTAAACCAGGACTAAACCAGGACTAAACCAGGACTAAACCAGGTCTAAACCAGGACTAAAACAGGACTAAACCAGGTCTAAACCAGGTCTAAACCAGGACTAAACCAGGTCTAAAACAGGACTAAACCAGGACTAAAACCAGGACTAAACCAGGTCTAAAACAGGACTAAAACAGGACTAAACCAGGTCTAAACCAGGACTAAACCAGGACTAAACCAGGACTAAACCAGGTCTAAACCAGGACTAAACCAAGTCTAAACCAGGTCTAAACCAGGACTAAACCAGGTCTAGAACAGGACTAAACCAGGACTAAACCAGATCTAAACCAGGACTAAACCAGGACTAAACCAGGACTAAACCAGGTCTAAACCAGGTCTAAAACAGGACTAAAACAGGACTAAACCAGGTCTAAACCAGGACTAAACCAAGTCTAAAGCAGGACTAAAACAGGTCTGAAACAGGACTAAAACAGGACTAAACCAGGACTAAACCAGGGCTAAACCAGGACTAAACCAGGTCTAAACCAGGACTAAAACAGGTCTAAAACAGGACTAAACTAAACCAGGACTAAACCAGGACTAAACCAGGACTGAACCAGGTCTAAACCAGGTCTAAACCGGGTCTCAAACAGGACTAACAACCCCAGGTCTGTTTTGGAGAAGAAAACCACATTATAACACGACTTAAAGCTCAAGGAGTCGTTTCTGCTTCGTTTAAAACCTTTAAAAAGAGTTAAAAAGCCCGAATCACTCAGACGTACATAAACTTATTTGCAGATGTGAGATCAGATTTTTGAGTTTCTAATATTTGTGTTTTATTTTCATCATCTGAAGGTACGAACGGTCCGTGTTTGACTGACGGCTGGATTACAAAATGTCAGCCTCATATAGTTTAATAACAGTTGAATTCCGGAGGGACACGGTGTACAAAGAAATTGAAATGTCAGAATTGTCATCTCGTGTTTTCAGTTTGATACTAAAAAAGTGCGAGGCCTTAATAGTTCTGTTCTGTCTCCGGTGTTCAGTGGACGTCACGCGCTTCAGACGAGTCCTTATATTCAGACTTTAATGTCCTAATCCAAACGCTTCTCGGGTTTTTACACAAACTTCTGCGGGAAAAGAACCGAGAAATACAACAATATTTAAGGATTTTTTGATTCTAAAGTGAACCAGGACCGAACTAGGACCAGAACAGGATGAAATAAGGTCTAAAACAGGACTAAACCAGGACTAGAACAGGACTAAACCAGGACTAGAACAGGACTAAACCAGGACTAGAACAGGACTAAACGAGTACTAGAACAGGACTAAAGTAGGACTAGAACAGGACTAAACCAGGACTAGAACAGGACTAAACGAGTACTAGAACAGGACTAAAGTAGGACTAGAACAGGACTAAACCAGGACTAGAACAGGACTAAAGTAGGACTAGAACAGGACTAAACAGGACTAGAACAGGACTAAACGAGTACTAGAACAGGACTAACTAGGACTAGGACTAGAAGAGTACTAGAACAGGACTAAACGAGTACTAGAACAGGACTAAACGAGGACTAGAACAGGACAGGACTAAACCAGGACTAGAACAGGACTAAACGAGTACTAGAACAGGACTAAACCAGGACTAGAACAGGACTAAACCAGGACTAGAACAGGACTAGAACAGGACTAAACAGGACTAGAACAGGACT